GACTATCTATTAGATAATATATCATAATGATCAGACATTAGAAATCTTAATAATAATGATGATAATTAATTGATGTCTATATGCGCATGTACAACCGGAACGCAAAAATTCGAACATGTAACAGTGCGAAAAAGCGAAAATGAAACAAAGCGAAAATGCAAAGAGATGACAAAGTAATGCGAAAATACTACATAATTATTTTATATGTCGTGTTTTCGCCATCCTTCTGTCGTATTTTCGCTTTTTGCCTCGAAAATCCGAACGAGCGAAAAATATGATAAACAAGATCAACAAGGAAAGGCAGCGTTCAATGAACGCAAAGAGGCGACAAAACTTTGTCATTCCTTCGTGTTTTCGCATTTTGAGGCGAAGAAGCGAAAATACGACATGGCGTAAATCAGTCACAATAACATTTAGATAGAGATGTACCGTATGCAACATTCTATAGGGTATATGTATTTCAGTTAATTAGATTTGCTAGTGCTTGTAGCAAAGTAAAGGATTTTAACGAAATTTTTCATTACGAACAGAATTACTGCTTTTATAAATTACCTAAATGTTTTACAAAATTATACAATCGTAACATAGATCTATTAGTGTTTTAAAAACACTTCTGCGAAAATGGATATGCCAGTTTGATTTTTTTTATGGTGATGTGATTTTCAAACTTCGTAAGATCTTTGGTCATTGTGATTTTTTCTGTTACCTTTACTAAAAATCATTAAACGTTTTATTAAATGAGGTTATGCCCTACTATTTTAAGACATAACGCATCATTATTGTTCAACCCTTTTACAGTTAGACGCTACGCTTTCCTCTTTTGATTACATCTGACGGACCAAGTGGGAGACTCAATGATTGACAGCCCTTTTGGACTGAATTGTCTAAATGTCCGACTTCTGTCTTGCTCTGTCGGGCCCTTGTAGGTAATGTTTGTTGTTGCTCTATCTTCCTTTAATTTTTTCTATGTCCCTTGATTATCATTTCTGTAGTTTACTTATTCCACCTTTTGTAACCATAACACTTGTTAGAATTTCACTTGGTGGGGTTTCATCTTATTTACACTGTCTCGTTTATAGGAATATGGAGTGAGGTTTGGTTCACCATTTATCGGTTTAAACTCACCAGCTGTTCTTATGTTGCTGACCTTTCGAAGGCTGCGCCCCTCTGTGTTCCTCAGATGTATGTCTGTGTTGTTTCAAATATTTTTGTGACACTTTTGTGTTCCTTGTTGTTTTTTCACGTCTACGGTAAGTATCTTCCCTTTTGCCCCTTGTTTTTTATTTAATTTGTCCCTCCCCTTCACAGTATTCAATTCCTCTTACATGTTCCCTTTTACTATGTGGACCTATAAATCAATTAATTGTATCTGATTTCCTTATCGGTTACTATAAATTCCTTTCATGTATTATAAAAGTGATTATCCTCCCAGTGCTTTGCCTTGTGTCCTGTCTTGTTTTGGGGCCTCCTGGGCTCCTTGCTACTGGTACTTGTTGCTGTGTCGTATGGGGGTTGCGTTCATTAAACGCCGCCTTACCTTGTTTATATTGTTTATCATCTTTTACAGGTCGTCATGAAGACAGACAATGTTTACTTGAAATATGCATTTACTTTTCTTTATGAAGGTTCAAATACTCTTTTCGCTATTGACTTGATCCCACATGTTAAATGACTAAATTCACTGTTAAGTTTAAGTTTTAACGAAAGCAATTGTTATAACAAAACTCGGTGCAATGTAAATTTGCTCTATTTATGATTCAAAACAACACCCGCTTTAAGGTATAACCACCCTAACGGGCACTATTAGGAACTGAAAAATTGATATCATAGGTCAGATATACACATTAAAGTAACCTGTATGCAAAATTTAAATAAACCTTACCGTGCAGAAATCGACTTTAAGTTTCTTCTATTGGGCCATTTTCAATTTGGGTGGTTCCAGTATTCAAGTAGGAATACTGGAACCACCAAAGTTGAAAATGGCCCAATAGACGATATTATTGTTGTACTTGTGGTGATTTGGTTTTTTCTATTCGGCTTTTTTCTTGTTCGGTGGTTCCAATATTCTTCACTTGAATACTGTTGAATCACCCTTAGGATATGTTGCCTGCTTTTTAAATTTGTCTTTTGACGTCTTATCTGTGATATGCAGGCTTCATTACCTCAGATCCCCTTTCAAAATTCCATTTTATTTAGTTCCGCCCATTGTTTTCTCGTTTAGGGTAAAAGCATTATTTTACTTGGGGACCATACGCCGCTTTTCGTGGAATGGCACTCCTGTGTCACATTGAAGGTTCCATGATAACCGCCGTATGAACACATCTGCGGATGTTTCTAAATTCAAAATTTGACCATTTTCGTGTAAATGTTGAATTCTGCTTAAGCCGGTGCTAAGAGGCGTGGACAGTAACTTGCACTTTCCAGTACCGTCCATGAACAGGCTCAATCAAACCGAGCCTGCAACATTTTCAATTTTGTTGTGTTTGAATTTCTTTAGGGATTCTGTTTTTCTCTATTTTATGGCCACTTTTCTGAACTGAAGCTAGGATGTTATGGGGCCCGTTGTCAATAATGAGGAACCTTTAAATAATCTGCAATAACATCCCAATGAAAAAGCATTTGCCCATTAATTTTTGGCAATAGACAAATTGCACCATTCAACTAACAATCCACATAAGCAAATTATGGTTTCTACTCAAAATTTATATAAAATATGTATAAAAATGTCACCCTATCCCACTCATTTTTAACACGTGTTTGACCATTTTCCTACTTAGGGAACCTCATTTACAAAATCCCTAAAATTTACCCAAAATGAGTGCCTGTTTTCAAAGTTTTACTAAATTTTCAAAGAAGCATATTGGTTGATCTTGTAGAATATTAAATACTTTGACCGTCTAGTTTTGACTTTATTACACTTTGAAAATATCAGGTACCATATATATTACTAGATTAAGCATTATTTAGATATTAAATACCAATATAAATTAAATAATCACTTTTTCTTCGCAAAAAGGATATGAGAGATTCATAAAATAATGTTAAAAGAAAAAAAAAGAAAGAAAAAAATTGACCCTTCTGGGATTTGAACCCACGGCCCTCAGTTTCATTGTAGTTAACAGCAGTTTTATAACATAAATTAAAAACAGATTTTGTATTTAACAGTTCTGCAATCACAATTATGTATCTTGATTGATTAAAGACATCCGCTTCATTTTGAATTAACAATAAATAAAAAAAAATATTTTCCAGATATTTGTATGTCTAGGTCCCAGCAGGGTAAATAGAAGATAGATATACACCAGATATGTACATAACGGATTAGAAAATGTTACAAACGGGTAATAATTGTATATATTTATATTTAATACTGAGTTAAAGTTAATCTGTCTTTTCTTTTTCATGTCAACACTATTTAAATTAATAGAAAGAATATATCATTAAATAAAATATGCGCCGAATCTGTAACTGTTATCACAAAAATTAATAAGTCCCACAATCAACGCAATTAAATACAAGCGTCCCATTTCAGGAAATGAGCATACTAGTTTCATAATTCAACGCACTGTTTTCAACTTAATTATTACAGAACCCTGATCAGCAAAGGAAATCAAAGAGGTAAAACTGTTGATTAGTACAAATGATACAAAGTCACCAAAAGCATATTGCCAACTCTTCCGAAATGTCTCGTTTTAAAACAACCAATACGTTTTATTATATAAACAATTTTACTTAAACGACTTAAAAACTGGAGTGTTTGTAAATAAAACATGTAACAAATTGATTCTAAGAAAAATAGACAAATTGCACCATTCAACTAACAATCCACATAAGCATATTATGGTTTCTACTCAAAATTTATATAAAATATGTATAAAAATGTCACCCTATCCCACTCATTTTTAACACGTGTTTGACCATTTTCCTACTTAGGGAACCTCATTTACAAAATCCCTAAAATTTACCCAAAATGAGTGCCTGTTTTCAAAGTTTTACTAAATTTTCAAAGAAGCATATTGGTTGATCTTGTAGAATATTAAATACTTTGACCGTCTAGTTTTGACTTTATTACACTTTGAAAATATCAGGTACCATATATATTACTAGATTAAGCATTATTTAGATATTAAATACCAATATAAATTAAATAATCACTTTTTCTTCGCAAAAAGGATATGAGAGATTCATAAATAATGTTAAAAGAAAAAAAAAGAAAGAAAAAAATTGACCCTTCTGGGATTTGAACCCACGGCCCTCAGTTTCATTGTAGTTAACAGCAGTTTTATAACATAAATTAAAAACAGATTTTGTATTTAACAGTTCTGCAATCACAATTATGTATCTTGATTGATTAAAGACATCCGCTTCATTTTGAATTAACAATAAATAAAAAAAAATATTTTCCAGATATTTGTATGTCTAGGTCCCCAGCAGGGGTAAATAGAAGATAGATATACACCAGATATGTACATAACGGATTAGAAAATGTTACAAACGGGTAATAATTGTATATATTTATATATAATACTGAGTTAAAGTTAATCTGTCTTTTCTTTTTCATGTCAACACCATTTAAATTAATAGAAAGAATATATCATTAAATAAAATATGCGCCGAATCTGTAACTGTTATCACAAAAATTAATAAGTCCCACAATCAACGCAATTAAATACAAGCGTCCCATTTCAGGAAATGAGCATACTAGTTTCATAATTCAACGCACTGTTTTCAACTTAATTATTACAGAACCCTGATCAGCAAAGGAAATCAAAGAGGTAAAACTGTTGATTAGTACAAATGATACAAAGTCACCAAAAGCATATTGCCAACTCTTCCGAAATGTCTCGTTTTAAAACAACCAATACGTTTTATTATATAAACAATTTTACTTAAACGACTTAAAAACTGGAGTGTTTGTAAATAAAACATGTAACAAATTGATTCTAAGAAAAACGGCACAAAAATAAGTGTGGTAAAAATATGAATCATTTTAGTTTTACCTGTAAATGGGTCTACTTAGAGATCTTGGACTGCTGTTTGTTTTGTTCGTATCACTTCGAATATAAGATACTATCTTGGTTTGGAAATGCCAACTCACGCTATTATTAGATGATTGAAATGAGACATCACGCCAAGACTGTCCTTCAAAACTGAAAACAAAGCCGTTGTATTAAGATATTACGTGAATTTTAGCATATTAAAGTCAATATAAAACATATCATTGTTATTCCAAAAATTATTTTATTTAAATTTAGCTCAACAACAATGCATTTACGTGTACGTTATTTTAACGTAGTATACATTATAATTATGATTATTTCATTAACACAATTATTTAAGTAAGTTCAAAATAAGACGAAAAATAAATCTCATTGGACTTAAGAAAACTTTATAATGTTGTTGTTTTTCTATTCTTTTTTATTTACTTTAAGAACTGATAAATTATCTTCTGGGTAAACTGAAGATGGTAAAATGATAAATATATTCGACTTATGCGCTAAGTCCGGTTTTAAATTCATTTTGCTATTATATCTAGAATGGCTTTAAAGATCCTGTAACACATTATTTTTATGGTTTTATATACAAACTATGATGCTCAAATTAAGATTTATCTATAATGTAAGTTTCAAAAAACATTATTTATAAAGATATTACCAAATTTGATATTTCATGTAAATAAAGGGAGGTAATTAGAATTTAGTTTTCTATAAATTCTAAGTCAATTTTTCCAATAACAAATGAATGCATATAATTTAATGATTACCTGAAATATGTACAAATATTTGCAATACATATTTTACATATTCTTCCATGTTTGAAAATAGACAAATTTGCATAATTACATACATATATAGTTCAATGAAGAGTGGTATGCAATCTCAATTACAAAACATACAGGATCTTTAAAATACATTATGTAAAGCTTCTTCATAAATATTTTTAAAAAGAATGCACTGAATCTCGTCACTGAATCAAGAAAAAACCAAGCAGACAGTCTTACACAAATGAGGTGATTCTATAAAATCACAACTTTTCGGCCTTTTTATGATGTTAAAAGAAAAGATATCAAAGTAAAGTGTACCTGATTTATTAGTTGAATCGAAAATATTCATAGCGTGGCTGGTTTGATTTAAATTGCATGGTGAGAGGTACAATTATAATTGATTCCGATTGGTGGACATCATTTTCAATCATTATACATGTAATATCGAAATGCATTTTATTTCCCCTTTGGTGTACTATTAATACCATTAGCAGGGTCTGTTTGCATCACACTCACATGGTAGAACTATTCTTAATCAGCAACTTTTCGGGAATTTTTACTGGCAATCGACGGGAATTGCAAAGGATTTTATTGTAAACATAATGCTCAGTATGTTTATGTAATGACGGAAACAGAAAAAACATTGTACAGATATGTGCAAATATTATTTTGTTGTATATGACAATAATGATTATTTAATTGAGCAATGCAGACGACATGCAAATATTATATGATTTACTATTTTCAGTTTAAGTTTCAATTTAAGGTAAGGAAAGTAAAAATTTCATATATAAACATGATATCTATTTCTCGTTTATCCTTCTCCATAAGAACGCTAAAATGCATTTTTTCCTGCTCCCATTGTGAATACTCATCAACGTCAATGACTGTTTCATTGTATGTCTTGTTCACGTCCGCATCTATATCTCTTGTTTCTATCGAATAATGATCTGCCTTCTTTTGCTCTAATGTAAAGTGGCCGAGGTATCCTGATGATAAGAGCATTTGTCTTGTTGAGCGTGTTGATCTACCAATGTCAGTTCTGCTACACGCTGCTCCGCATGGCCCTTTCCCGAGTACCCATCCAGTTATGAGTTCAATGATGACCTAATTTATACAGAAGAGAATATATTGATTTATTATCTACAGTTATGCATATAAAACTACAGTGTCTAAAATATTTTTAATTAGTCTATTGTGCTATTAGTAAAAAAAATATGATAAACAAGATCAACAAGGAAAGGCGGCGTGCAACCCCATACGATCCAGCAACAAGAACCGGTGGCAAGGAGCCCGGTGCAGAAGACCCTTAAATTATTATTTTTTGTTTGTTCAATTTTTTTTTCTATTTACTTATTTGTTATTATCTTCCGAAACCGGTAAACAAATGTATGATTACCAAGGAGCTACCATCAGCTTGTTGTTCTAGTTTATAACTCATTGATCCACCATAGAATTGTCCACTTGCGTATGCATGTTGATACACAACGCTAGATAGAAGCGCAATTATCCAAACTCGTCTCCATGATGTAGCCATAATCAAACCCTGAAGAAAGTCATGCATAAAATTATCAAGTGGTGTAAACGTTATGTCCAATTGAAGTTTCCAAAATTATGACTAAATTGACTTATAAATGTATGATCGTTAAATTTTAGGGCACATTATACCACAAAACTGCATACAGAGAGACGTTTTATAACGTATATACAATGATTTTGTGGCATGTTAGATGCTTATTATCTGGAAAAAAGTAGCACTGAATGTGTTATTATTTCTATAATTGTAGTTATGTTTGTAATTTTTGACTTCCATACAAAATACTTTATCATTGTAACTTTACTAACAGACAAAATGGAACAGAAATAAAAGATGGGCACTTAGCAACCTTTTAGAAACTTTTTCTTGACACCAAAAAAAGATAATAAAGTGTTTCTGGGGGCATCATGGGCTTAAAAAGACAAATAAAAAACGAATGAAAAAGATTTTGGGAAACCTAGAGATTACTGTCCAAATAAGATAACTAAAGAACCAAAGCGTAGAAAATAGCTAACAAAACATTATGATCAGTTAAATATAAAAAGTAAAGAAAATCATGTCAAGCAATTTAGTACGCCATAAGAAACATATTCAATTAGCATGACTTGCAAATCAACATTTTTGACAGATTTCATTTGACTGCTTATACTTATATCATATTAACATTTTGCACGTGTACTTCATTGTTTTGTTAATGCTCCTTGGAGCTCCTTATGAAAGAGCTTATGTGTAGACATGGGATTTCATAGTCTTATTACCCACAATAAGTACATGTAAATATGAATTATGTGTATTAAAATCATGGTGGTGATGATAATGATGATAACAGTTATGTTTAATAACTAATAATCAAACATAAGGCTATACAAGTAAAATGATATCGACCATCAGCATGAAGATTTGTATCACCTATTTTTATTTTTTAAGATAATTCAGTGTTCCAACTTTAATGAATAGTATACAAGTAACCATTCATGTGTTGATTAAGATATGATAAGTGAGGTGTTCAATCATATCAATCATAATGGTTGATGATAATGATGATGATAATTATTAGTGACGAAAATTATGTTGATGATGGAAAATGTTTACATTGTTATCAAAAGTTACGATTGCAACACCTGACTACGAACACATTCCAGTATTCTCAAAGGACAAATGTAAAAAACATTATTGACGATTAATTCTGTCAGTGTGGTACGATTGAATACACCTGTCATATCATATATAAATTCGATATTGATTGTTGATCTGCCTTCCTTTAAGGCATCGGATACTTTTGTGATTTTTCTTTGGCTGTTTCTTTATGTTTATATATTTTCATGATCATCTCTGTTTTTGTGTAATTTGCCTAATGTAAAATGTATTCATAGTCTATTTTTAAGTGCGTGCAAAAATATATGCTGGAAACACTTAACATCTGCTAGCCATAACTGAGTCAGTATCATTTTAAAATTATATATCCAATTCTTTTTCTTCATTTTCACAGCCAAACAGTTTCAATTAATAAATTCCATAGAATGTTACAGACACGTTTTGAATGAGCCTGTTAATAGACAGTACTGGTGGAATTTAGGATAAATAATTCAATACGCGGGTTGAACCTTTTATCCCCTTTCAAAATTCCATTTTATTTAGTTCCGCCCATAGTTTTCTCGTTTAGGACGCATGCATTTGTTTGATTCGGGACCAGACGCCGCGTTTCATAGAATGGTACTAAAGTGTCACATTAAATGTTTCATGACAACCCCCGTATGAACACATCTGTGGATGTTTCTAAATTCAACATTTTTCAATTTCAAGTTTGAATATTAATTACTGCTAAAGCCGGTGCCAGTGGGCGACGACGGTAATCTGCACTTTTCAGTTCCGTCCATAAACAGCGAACAATTTTGCCGTGTTAGGCTTTTTTTCGGGGATTCTGTTATTCTTATTTTACTGTCACATCAGTGTTATTTATGCCGTGTGGCGGCTGTAAAAGTCTCCTCTTTACTTAATCAAAGATGTTATATTTTCGACCCTGCAGATCGTTCAGCACGACATTATTGTTGTGTATACATGTTATGTGGTATTATTTTGCCTTTCTCAACTTCGGTGGTTCCAGTATTCCTACTTAAATACTGTATTATCAACCTTAGGATATGTTGCTGCCTACTTTTCAAATTGTCTTTTGACGTCATGTTGATGTTCCAGCATGTATTTTTGCACGCACTTAAAAATAGACTATAAATACATTTTAGATCTATTTTATGGCACATTATGTCTAAGAAATGAATATATTTTTGTTCTTTAGAATGAGAAAACAAGTCTTTAAAAATGCTTTACCAGTGTATATTAAGCATTTTATATGCCTATCACAGGTAGTAGAAAGAGCTGGATGTGAACATTTATGCAATAAATGTAGCAACATGTAAACAATTGTATTACAATTTTATTTGCACTTCCAAACAAAATTCTAAATTACTTATATAATTATACTTATTGTCAAAGAAGAGAAGCAAAATATTGTTCAGCTTTATGGCATATGAGCTCTTAGTTTGATACGGTAACATGACATTAAAGTTAAAAAAAGCTTTTGAAAAATAAAAATAATATCACTTTTGAGGCCTAATAAGCCTTTAATCACATTATTCTTCAAGATGAAAATGTTAGCGGTTCCTCTGGCGATAATAGATTCACAACATGACAACAATTGTTTCTTAAAGTTTACTTTTATAAAGCTGTGATCGTTATGACATACTCAACAACATGTTAAAAGCTTTACAAAATTTACAGTTCATAAAAATTATACCTTAACATTGTCTTTGTGATTCAAATTACTATTTACGCTAACTGTGTAACAGCAAAAGCATTTGCCAATAGTATTACGGTATAGACCTCTTACATCGATCTTTCCTTATTTAGGAAATACGTCGTACTCTTATACATTATTGTATGTGAATGAATGTATTATTGTCATGCACATTTTGTATGTTTATATTGTTTGTTTGTATATGTCTAAATGCTGTACCATGCTTTCGACGAAAACAATTTCTGTTCTGTTATACTCAAAAGTTTTACTTACCTCGTTTTGCCTTTTTGTAACAAATTTATAGAAGAATATCAACTATAATCACAATTTTTCCATTAATGGTGTGCCTTTATGCAAATCAGATATCTACACTTTATCATTACCCTACATCCTTATAACTATTATTTGTCTGGGTTAAAGTTATTATGCAGCCGTCGCACTAATGCCGGTCTTATCAGAAGATAGTTTACATTGTGGGATCATTCAATCCAAAAAAGACGTTGTTGTCAAGTTATCGAAACATGTTAGGTATCGCATTTTAAAAGATCTAGGCGCGTAATTTGCACTTTTCAGTTCTGTCCATAAACAGGCTCAATCAAACCGAGCTTGCAACATGTTCAATTGTACTGTGTTGGGCTTTCTTTAGGGATTCTGTTTTTTTTTCTATTTTATTGTCACATCAGTGTAATTTGTGCCGTGCGGCGGCTGTAAAATGTCTCCCCATATATTTAATCAGAGATTTAATATTTTCGATCCTTGAAGATTGTTCAGCACGACATTATTCTTGTGTATACATGTTATGTGGTATTATTTTGTCTTTCTCAACTTGGGTGGTTCCATTATTTCTAATTTAATAATGTTTAATCACCTAAAGGATATGTTTCCTGCTTTTTCAATTTGATTTGGCGTCTTGTCTGTGATATGCAGGCTTATAACCTCAGATCGCCTTTCAAAGTTCCATTTTATTTAGATCCGCCCATTGTTTTTTTCATTTAAGGCACACACATTCTTTTACTTGGGGACCATACGCCGCTTTTTTATGGAATGGCACTACTGTGTCACATTGAAGGTTCCGTGATAACCGCCGCATGAACATATTTACGGGTGTTCCTAAATTCAAAATTTCACCATTTTCGTGTTTAAATGTTGGATTCTGCTTAAGCTGGTGCTAGGGGCGTGGATGGTTTTTTGCACTCTTCAGTTCCGTCCATGAACAGGCTCAATCACACTGAGTCTGCAACATTTTCAATTTTCCCGGTTTGGGCTTTCTTTAGGGATTCTGTTTTTCTCTATTCTAATTGATTGAGCCTATTCATGGACAGTACTGGAAAGTACAAGTTACCGTCCACGCCACCTTGCAACGGCTTAAGTAGCATTTGATATTTTACCATGGAAATGTGGAAAATTTTAAGTCTGAATCGTTGGTTATGCTGACTTTAATGGAAAAAAATGCTTATCATGTCATTGTGAAAGGTGGCGATGATTTTAATTTACTATTTGCCAATGTCTCACATGAAAAACTATTATACAAAAAGAGGTGACAAGGTTAGTGAACAGGAATATGTGACGGATGACAGGTGGTTCTGTTAAAGAAACAATTATTTATTGATGATATTATGCTATGCTTCTTTTGTTAATATAGTTCTTATTTGAGATATACCAAACAAAGGCTTGTATAATTCCATTTGTAAAGACAATATCAAGAAGTTATGTCCATGATAACAGCCGTATGAAAACATCTGCGGATGTTTCTAAATTCAAAATTTCACCATTTTCATGTTCTGCTTAAACGGTGCTAGGGGGCGAGGTAGTTAGTTTGCACTTGACAGTACCGTCCACGAACAGGCTCAATCAAACCGAGCCTGCATCATTTTCAATTTTGTCGTTTTGGACTTTCTTGATAGTGATTTAAAAATATTCCTTTCATGAAAAACCTGAGACGAATGGAAACGAGATAAAGTTAAATGCACGTAGTAATTTTTCCAACGTATTAAATAAAAAAATAAAGAACAACCTTTCAACCTTTCAACACATTTTAGATCTTTTTTGTGGCACATTATGTCTCAGAAATGAATATATTTTTGTTCTTTAGAATGGGGAAAAAAGTGTTTAGAAATGCTTTACCAATGTATATAAAGCATTTGCCTATCACAGGTAGTAGAAAGCGCTGAATGTGAACTTTATGCAATAAATGCAGCAACATGTTAATAATGTTGTATTACAATTTTATTTGCACTGCCAAACAAAATTCAAAATCACTTATATAATTATACTTATTGCCAAAGAAGAGAAGTAAAAGATTTTTCAGATTTATGACCCATGAGCTCTTAGTTTGAGAGCGTTTGAGAAATAAACATAATATCACTTTTGAGACCTAATTAGCCTTTAATCATGGTATTCTTTTAAAATTGAAATCTAAACGGTTCAACTGGCATTAAATACGTTTACAATATGACAACAATTGGTGCATGAAGTTTACTATCGTGATGGCATACTCAACAACATGTTAAACGCTCTAGACAATTTACAGGATTTTATCATTACCCTACATCCTTATAACTATTATTTGTCTGGGTTAAAGTTATTATGCAGCCGTCGCACTTATGCCGGTCTTATCAGAAGATAGTTTACATTGTGGGATCATTCAATCCAAAAAAGATGTTGTTGTCAAGTTATCAAGTATCACATTCTAAAGGATCTAGGCGCAAGAGGATCGTTTAAGATAAACAGCCAATCATTTGACAGGTAAAAAAAAAAAAGAAAGATCGTTTCACATCTAACCGTCTTTTTAAGGTCTCAGTGTGTAAATTCTTTATAAAATATAAATCGATCTATTTTAGAGGTATATATTTGGTTACTGCTCGCAATTATGCGATGACGACCTAAAGATAATGATACTAAGACCTCCCGGCCACTATACACGTCTTCGAACCATGGTGAATAATTACAATAAACTTAAAGTAACTCCACTGAGGTTTTAGCCTTATAACATAAAACTTGTATTTCTCACGAAAATCTGATAGGGCATTTTTTTTTTCGTGAAGGAATTGATTTTTTATTTATGTTTTAATATCTAAAATGAAACACTCAAAATAAAATAGTTTATATAATTCACAGGGTTTAGTTTAAGTTATTTTAAAATGTTATTTATATTACCTTTGTAATGACAGAAGAAATGAATGAGTTCTATACAGAGAGAAGAAACACTTTAAAAAAGAGAAAAGCAGAATAAAACCTGTAAAAATGTACATTTTCTGGTAATATTCCAACCAATTGTGTTTATTTCCATGCGAATCAGACAGTAAAGGAAATATATATTTCTTCCGGAAAACTGTTTTTGCATAATTTTATTACAACATTGTACTTGTCATTGTTTAAAATGAAGGGTATATGACAATACTAAATAATTGGCACCACAAAATATCGTGAGCATTAAAAAATTATCTTGTCACTCTAGAAGTCGACTTTAATATTTTTTCTTTCCAAATTACATGACATTTTAACAATTGTTTTGTCTAAAATAAATGTATCCGTAAATAAATGTATTCATTTTAAATCTTAGAAACATCAATGATTTAGAAATAATGAAATTATCTTCTTTGGTAAATAGTTTTTATATCAGCTGGCTGTGCATAATAATAAAATAAAATGTAAAATGGTAGGAGATTGAAAAAATGAATTTAAAAAATATATCTCATAGCTTTTATGAACGTATCAAAAATGTGTTTGATCCACTTCTTCTATATATTCTCCAATTGTTTCACAAGAACAGCTCTAAATCCAAGCATTATGAAGTTAAGAATAAACTATAAAGATGACGTCAGTAAAATTGAATTGAGTGACGATGATAACAGAGGATCTTCTGATTAAAGTTATAACATAAGTAATGATGAATTAAAGTTTGGTGAACAAAAATTAGGGAAAAAAGGAAACCCAAAAAAACTTCCAAAATGACAAAATTGAACATGTTGCAGACACGATTTGAATGAGCCTGTTAATAGACAGTACTGAGAGTGTGAAATGGCGTCCACGCCCCCAAGCACTGGCTTAAGTAGAATTCAACATTTAATCATAGTAATGTTGAAACTTTGGATAAATAAATACAATACGTAGGTTAAACCTTACATCCCTTTTTCAAAATTACATTTTATTTAGTTCGCCCATTCTTTTCTCGTTTAGGGAACACGCATATGTTTAATTCGGGACCAGACGACGCGTTTCATAGAATGGCACTAATGTGTCACATTAAATGTTCCATGACAACCGCCGTATGAACACATCTGTTGATGTTTCTAAATTCAAAATTTCAAATGTTAATTTCGGCTTAAGCCGATGCTAGTGGCCGTTGACGGTAATTTGCACTTTTCAGTTCCGTCCAGAAACAGGCTCAATCAAACCGAGCCTGCAACATGTTCAACTGTGCCGAGTTGGGCTTTCTTTAGGGATTCTGTTTTTTTTTCTATTTTATTGTCACATCAGTGTAATTTGTGCCGTGCGGCGGCTGTAAAATGTC